GTGATTATTTCTGATGACTTAAAGGTAGGCAGACAATGTAATAGAGCAGCAGGAAATGCTAGCAGAATGCTTGGTTGTATAGGAGAGGTATTAGCAGTAGAAAGAGGGAAGTGCTCATGCCATTGTACAGACCTCACTTGGAGTATTGTACACAGTACTGGAGACCGTATCTTCAGAAGGATATTGATACCTGAGAGAGGGTTCAGAGAAGGGCTACTAAACTGGTTCATGGATTGCGGGATAAAACTTACCAGGAAAGGTTAAAGGATCTTAACATGTATAGCTTGGAGGAAAGACGAGACAGGGGGGATATGATAGAAACATTTAAATATATAAAGGAATCAACACAGTAAAGGAGGAGACTATATTTAAAAGAAGAAAAACTACCACAACAAGAGGACATAGTCTTAAATTAGAGGGGCAAAGGTTTAAAAATAATATCAGGAAGTATTACTTTACTGAGAGGGTAGTGGATGCATGGAATAGCCTTCCAGCTGAAGTGGTAGAGGTTAACACAGTAAAGGAGTTTACGCATGCATGGGATAGGCATAAGGCTATCCTAACTATAAGATAAGGCTAGGGACTAATGAAAGTTTTTAGAAAATTGGGCAGACTAGATGGGCCGAGTGGTTCTTATCTGCCGTCACATTCTATGTTTCTATGTTTCTATGTTTCTATGTAAGGTCTGGACAAGGAAATTGCCACCCACCAGTCACTTGAATTACTTTTTGGTTTTTGGTTGCAGCTTCACACAATTTTCTTTGGATTAGCAGGGTCTCTTCAAACTATCGCTCCTGTAAGTTTTATTGTAATTGTCCTATTTATAGTTAAATCCCCCCCTCATAATATTGTAAAGCGCTACGGGGTCTGTTGGCGCTATATAAATGACAATAATAATAATAATAAAATAGTGGGAAGTGCACTGGGACGAGTGTTAGTAGAGTAGTGCAGGAATACGTCATCAGACAAAAACTGTGCAGCACTGTATGGGCCTCTGCGTGGTGTACTGGCCCACAAACTATGCAGACATAGGTTGAACCAATAGGATATTTTCTGGTGAACTGCATTAACACATGCTACTTTTCACTGGTGGTAATGTCATGAATTGGCAATGACAGAATATGCAACTATTTGCATATTTAGCTCTCCATACTGGTCATACTGATGGAGGATGCAGAGATATTTGTTATCACACCTGTAAAAATCATTTCATGGCATGCTCTGGATGAATAGGACAATTGAGATCTGTGAGTCCTTCACACAAAAAAGCTATTCGTTTATCAATGCCAGGCCATGAGTTGCAAGTCCACCTCTAGAGACAGGTATATTATGATGGGGGAGCAGGCCTAATACATGGCGGGTGTTGCATGGACAAGCAAATGATGAATGATTTGGGAAGGAAAGGGGAGATAAGGACTGGAGTGTCGGTGACAGGAAAAGGGAATAATGTGTGTTCATAATGGTTTTGGAGGGAGTGGAAGGTATTTATCCATAACTAAGGAGGGACATGATCGTAATTTATTGTGAGCACTAAACACAATTGTACGAAGGTAAGATCTATTCCTGAATAGATGACTAAATATGAAACGAGTAAGGCTTTAGAATATGATGTCATATCTTTGATCTATGTAGCAGCCATCACACACACAAACCATAAAGGATCACAGGGTTCAATTACAGCAGAAATCTTTGTGTTTTAATAAATATGAATGTATTTCATAGGTTATTTAAGCCAAGGGTTAAGGCATTACCTGCCATGCAGTGACATTCAGCCCCTCTACAGATTTTCCGAATTTCTCCCTGCTCCTCTGTTGGGTGGTAGAACTTTGTACATCGGTTTTCTGAGGGAAAAGGAGCAAAGGGTATATGAATCAAAGATGTGTTAAAGATGTACCCACCGGAAAAATCCATGTCCCTCACTAAAGTGGACCTATCACCTACACAGCTCGTCAAATGCCTCAATATTCAGTAGACAATTTTCATAATGGCAACTTATGCTTTGATTTTTGTTGTTCAAACTGTGAAATAGTTTGTTTTATATATTTGGAATAATAGGCAAAGGAATAGCTTATGTCCTACATAGCGGAATTTAGCTACACAAGTTAAAAAATTCAATTAGTCTTGTAATAGAGCACATGATTCTGAAATGTGTTTGCAGGATAAAAGAAAATAAAAGAACATTGGTTGGGGGAATGTGGAATGAAGACAAGGCTGTCATCTATAAATAATAGATTTTATAGATAGAATTTAGAACAGAGTATCAACTGTTCATCTCTCATTGCTTAGTTTGTCAGTGATCAGCATGGACCTGGTTTATAGTCAATAATAATGCAAAATAAATAAACAGATCGCAACTGAGAATATGCATTAATGCATGAGGCATTGGCCAGAGAGAAATACCCTTGTCATGTTGGTTGGCCACTGGCGCCAAAAGGCAGCTCTTCTGGTGCCAACTGTTTATTTCCCACACTTTCTTACACAAAGGGAATTTTAGTTGCAAGCATCGAGGCAAGAATCCACGCTGTGAGTAATGTCCAGATTCATTCTATACATTAGATCTGCATGTCTGGTCTTGCAATTAGCATCAACACCTCAATTACCAAGGGAATAGTATTCATAGACGGTGACTGCCGCTGGCTGAAGAATTCCAACCTCGAAATGTTGGTGAATTTTGAACCTGAGGCATTCATGTTCTGATCTGGACACCTGAAAAGTAAATATAGGAACACTCAAGAGAAGATAAATTAACTGTTCAAAGTAGAGTATTTTTAGAGTGTATCTGTCGTGGTATAAACAACATATACTTATATTAGAGGTTACAAATGCTAGCACATGTATAGATTTTAAGTTAATAACTTTTGTCCCCTCCTGCATCTGTCAATCGTCGATGCCGATCTTTCTTCACTGGTAACGCAGAGATCTAAGCCAGGATTGAGTGACGGGGAGAGCAGGAGAACCCTAGAGCAGTATCACAGTGATTGTTCCAGCAAGCATTTCTCACTATTGCAGGTTATATAGGACATTCCAACAGAGCCATGGGAGTAAAAGTAAGTAGTAATATAACAGCTCCTAAACCAAGTAAATATATAATTTATTACTATGACAGATTACATATTTACTGCCTTACGAGCTCATATATTTAAAGTTGAGCCTGACATGGCAGATTCATTTTAAAGCTAGTATAATGTTTCACCTTAAAGTTGGGTTATATTCATTCATACTCATATTATTAGTATTTTATTCATATCTGTTTATTTTATGCTCCTTGTCCACCAAATTAGACAATTTGTTTCTAAATTAGCCATTGAGACATTTTTACTTCAGTTCTTAATTCTCCACAACTATTGCTTTTTTTTCCCCAATGACCCTGCTATAGAAACCAATTAAAACACATCTATTATACACAAAATTTATTGCGATACACTGAACCTATACTGGAACAAATCAAAACTACATAGTATAACACTGTTTGGGAAGTGATGCCACGAAGAAATAATATGCTGCACTCACAGATCTCCCATCATTCATGGATCTTGCTTTCACATTAAAAATAAAGTACAAAAAGAGCATCCTCTATTCCGTGTAAAAAGGTATTTCTTTGCACTTAACTTATATATATAAAAAATAAAATAAAAATCACAGCACATCACATGTAACTTCACCCAATCTCCTGAATAAATGATATGGCCAAACCCTACGCGTTTCATCTCTCAGACTTCTTTAGAGTCTTCCACTGAATCGATTTTCACATTGGTACAAACAATGAAACCGATCAGGATCAGGGGAGTGATAATAAACAGAGATTATCACAGAGATTCATAGGTTAAACCACTTTCACCAAAGTGTTAATATAGAGGGGGGTCCTATGTACTTTGTGAGTATTGTGTCTCAAGTACAACAGGGTATAACATGAATTTGTTTGTTTTTATATATATTTTCTTTTAAAACAAATTCTATACTAATTTTAATATTTATATGAAATAGAGAATGTTGTGCACCATCCTTTTTATACTTTATTTTTAGTGTGACAGCAAGATCCATGTTGATATGGAATTTCTACAAGAAGATTTGAGATTTACTTACATGCCTGTCCCGCTGAGAGGTTTGTGAGGACAATATATTATTCCTTCATGGCTTTACTGCCCAGACAATGTTATACTATGACGTTTTACTTTTGTTCCTCTATAGGTTTAATGTATCTCAAGAGATTTTGTGTATAGCATTCGGTGTATCAGGAGGGGGGGGAAGTCAATCTGTAATTGTGCTAAGTATCCATATTCCATCAACTTTTTCGGTGTTAAGAGCTGTGGTGTGTGTATATAAAACACATCCGTGACTGCCAAAGGGTCAGTTGGGAACATACTGTCCTCATTAGAAAACAGGTAACTTAACATTCAAGAAAAAACAGGTAACTTAACATTCTTTTAATATTTAAGTTTGTCGTAGGCATTTCTAAATAGTCATAAATTAGCACAAAGTAAAAATAAAAGATCTCACAAATCCTGTGTCAACAGGCATTGATTTAATTAGAGCCGATTATATTTATTGGCTTCTGATATATATTGCTGTCTAGTCACTAATAATATACACGGGGACCTTACAGTAGGGGCTGAAATTAAAATAAAAAAGTTTGGGCATATCATTGTCTACCCCTCTGCCCCCACCCGATGCACATTTATTGACTGTTTTATTTCGCGCATTTATCAGGTTTAATATTTGCTTGGATTTTGGCTCTCATTAAATTAATTCCATAATCCAATCCATAATTAGCAACTGGTTTCTGCTGATAATATTGAATTAAGGCCTTGAAAATAACAGTCATGTTTTTTCTTTTCCTCATTATTATTTTTGTTTCTAATCAAAACGATGAAAAAAACACAAAGATGTTTTCAAGTTTTCCTTAAATAATTTTTTATTCCATAATGGAATTCCTAGTTACATAGCTATGCAGGCTGTCAAAAAGACTTGTGTCCATCAAGTTCACATCTCTCCTGGATCAATATAACTGTTAATGTTGTTTAGACTTGCTTTTTTTTCCTTAAATAGTCTGTCTTACTAAAAAATAACCTAGTTTATTTGAAAGATGTGTATTGAATTTGACATCAAATCCTCTTTAGGCAGTGAACTCATTTTACCTTCACACATCCTTTAGTATGCTTAATGGGTAGGTCACCCATGAGCCATTTGCATCGGCAGTGTATGCTACTGTCTTGTACTGGTTCAAGACATTATGTGTAAGTGGCAGTGTGTATCTGTGTGTCTGCCAATGTATGTACAGGGAGTGCAGAATTATTAGGCAAGTTGTATTTTTGAGGATTAATTTTATTATTGAACAACAACCATGTTCTCAATGAACCCAAAAAACTCATTAATATCAAAGCTGAATATTTTTGGAAGTAGTTTTTAGTTTGTTTTTAGTTATAGCTATGTTAGGGGGATATCTGTGTGTGCAGGTGACTATTACTGTGCATAATTATTAGGCAACTTAACAAAAAACAAATATATACCCATTTCAATTATTTATTATTACCAGTGAAACCAATATAACATCTCAACATTCACAAATATACATTTCTGACATTCAAAAACAAAACAAAAACAAATCAGTGACCAATATAGCCACCTTTCTTTGCAAGGACACTCAAAAGCCTGCCATCCATGGATTCTGTCAGTGTTTTGATCTGTTCACCATCAACATTGCGTGCAGCAGCAACCACAGCCTCCCAGACACTGTTCAGAGAGGTGTACTGTTTTCCCTCCTTGTAAATCTCACATTTGATGATGGACCACAGGTTCTCAATGGGGTTCAGATCAGGTGAACAAGGAGGCCATGTCATTAGATTTTCTTCTTTTATACCCTTTCTTGCCAACCACGCTGTGGAGTACTTGGACGCGTGTGATGGAGCATTGTCCTGCATGAAAATCATGTTTTTCTTGAAGGATGCAGACTTCTTCCTGTACCACTGCTTGAAGAAGGTGTCTTCCAGGAACTGGCAGTAGGACTGGGAGTTGAGCTTGACTCCATCCTCAACCCGAAAAGGCCCCACAAGCTCATCTTTGATGATACCAGCCCAAACCAGTACTCCACCTCCACCTTGCTGGCGTCTGAGTCGGACTGGAGCTCTCTGCCCTTTACCAATCCAGCCACGGGCCCATCCATCTGGCCCATCAAGACTCACTCTCATTTCATCAGTCCATAAAACCTTAGAAAAATCAGTCTTGAGATATTTCTTGGCCCAGTCTTGACGTTTCAGCTTGTGTGTCTTGTTCAGTGGTGGTCGTCTTTCAGCCTTTCTTACCTTGGCCATGTCTCTGAGTATTGCACACCTTGTGCTTTTGGGCACTCCAGTGATGTTGCAGCTCTGAAATATGGCCAAACTGGTGGCAAGTGGCATCGTGGCAGCTGCACGCTTGACTTTTCTCAGTTCATGGGCAGTTATTTTGCGCCTTGGTTTTTCCACATGCTTCTTGCGACCCTGTTGACTATTTTGAATGAAACACTTGATTGTTCGATGATCACGCTTCAGAAGCTTTGCAATTTTAAGAGTGCTGCATCCCTCTGCAAGATATCTCACTATTTTTGACTTTTCTGAGCCTGTCAAGTCCTTCTTTTGACCCATTTTGCCAAAGGAAAGGAAGTTGCCTAATAATTATGCACACCTGATATAGGGTGTTGATGTCATTAGACCACACCCCTTCTCATTACAGAGATGTACATCACCTAATATGCTTAATTGGTAGTAGGCTTTCGAGCCTATACAGCTTGGAGTAAGACAACATGCATAAAGAGGATGATGTGGTCAAAATACTCATTTGCCTAATAATTCTGCACTCCCTGTATAGTGTTTTGGCATTTATAAGGTGCTTATGTGTGTTTTTATATCCATATGTACCTGCATACGGATACTCACCTTATCTAAATAAATAATGAGAGACCCTCGATCCGACAGTTCTGTGTCCATCTCAAACTTTGAGATATATCTGTCAACCCTGTTGGTCAACTGCAGAGAAAATGAAACAAAGACACAACAAATGATCAGTTGTATGTGGTTCACCTAGTTGAAATTGGTGACATTGCTTCACCCACCAAATTCTTACATGTGTCCCCTTTACCTTTACATCCACATCTAAGACATCACATACCCTTCCACCAGCCATTGCCTTTCAATCCCCCAACACATACCATACTTACTCAGTCATGGTAAAAAGTGACCAACCTTTTTGAGATCTTCCATGTCTGGTTTAAATCCAGTGAGCAACGATAAGTCCACAATAGTCATCGTAGAATCTATGATTCCAAGGAACCTGCAGAGAGAAGACAATTTAAAAAGTAACACGTAAAAAATGCTGCATACATAAAATTCAAACAAACAGGTCCGATGAAGAGTTAAAAACAAAACAGATCACATAGCGGCAAATGCATGTATTTTATAAAATCCAAACACACAGAGTAGCCACACATATGTACATTAACATGTGAGGTCCTTACTTCATACAGATATTGATGTACATGGATCTCAGGGCTCCTTCTGGCTTTGTTGCTGTATTACAAGTAAATAAAAAATACATGCATGTGTGAATCTACGTCAAAGAGTCTTTAGCATTCTGGTTATTATATGCCAAAACCTGTCTCATTGTTAGTTATGTATTTATAATTTATTTACCATTTGGTGCATCCTCAAGGGTTACAGTGAACTCAAAGTTCTTGCAAGGAACAGCTCCCTCGGCCATTGGAGCATAATACACAGACATTACCTGGAAATGATGAGACATAATGGTAAACAGGTTACCTATTGGCCAAAGCTTTATTCTAGGGTATTTAGTGCTGCAGTTGGAGATATATAGAGTTGCATTTAAGGTGCATGGAATGTTGATGCTGGAGGAGTATAGTACAGAGTATGAAGACGTCAAATTAATTTATATTATTGGAGGTGAACAGATCTCTGTCTCGTGCGTTTAGAGATATTTTTTGAGTTCTTTAGAGTTATGTAGGTGGGTACATGGACCTCAGTTGCTGTAGGTGTATTGTGCTGTCACGTTGTATGGAGTGCTATTATTGGAGGTGTTCAGGGCTTTTTTGACGCTGCGTGGAGTTATATTGACGGAGGTGTATAGTGCTCTATTGGAGGTGTGTGTTTCTGTTATTAGAGGTATACGGGGTGCTATTGATGGAGGTTAGATTTGAGAAGTATGGAATATTGCTGCTTGTGGTTCAAAGGGCACTGTTGAAAGTGCACAGAATGCTGTTGCTTAAGATTTATGGGTCTGTTTTAAAAGTGTGTTAGTGATACTGTTGGTCCTGTATGAGTCTGTACTGGAAGCCGATGGAGTTATATTGTTGGAGGTATGTGTGGTCTGTTTTGGGAGTTATTTAGAGTAATATTTTTTGAGGTGCATGATCTCTGTTGGAGTCATTCAGAGTTATTTGAAGTGACGTTTTATGTGTATGGGTTTGTGTAGGCGATGTATGGGGTGATATTGTTACTCGAGGTGTGTTCCTGATATTGTTGAAGGTGTATGGGGCTGTGTTACTATTTAATAATATTTTGCAGATGTGGATCTTCATTGGAGTTATTTGGAATGATGTTGTATGCGAATGGTTCTATGTTGAATGTTAATGGAGTGATACTTTTATTGTAGGATGTTTGTGTATTGTTGGATATATATGTGTGTATGGAGCTATTTTGGAGAGGCATGTAGTGCTTTCTGCTATATTTAAATAATGCTCCCTGGATATGAATCTGTTTTTTAAAACATTTTCATTTTATTCACCTTATGCAATGTTACTCACCGTGAGAGTGCCCTGTCCTCTTCCTTTCGCCAAAACATTAATCTTGCCTGTCATCGACATCTAATAAAATGAACAGCATGCAAAATGTCAACATGTCCTTCTAGGTTTATGAATAAAACATCCAGAAAAGACACAAAAGATGTTGTAAGTGCAAAACTGTAACCAAGCAGAATTTCAGACTTGTGGGTTAAAAACACTGACCATCTCACTGCGCTGGAGCATAGCATTCTTCGTATCGACCCTCAAATTTACAGGAACCCTTCTCCCAGGCAGAGTGAGTGTCACATCCATTTCTATGTCATTCATTAGGGGGGTGTGAGCCTGGTATTCTGATAGGGCTTGAAACACCATTATTGTGGCCTGGAGGAAATGAAGGGTCACAGTTTGGGTCACACTCACTCTCAAGAGACAATTTAACACATTCATTGGTGTCAATGGAATAGAAGCACCAATTCTACCTGTGTGGAACCGTATCCTCCACCATAAAACCTCTGTTCTGTCAGCCAACGAGCAACCGGAGCAGCCAGATGATAGAGGCCAAGCTTGAGAATGGCAAGCAAGCCATATGATGTGGCTTCAATAGAATAGAGATCAGAAGATGTTTCAGCCCAGTGTGTGGAATCTAAAATGACAAAGAGAAGATTTATGCCACAGTTCACTAGAAGTAATAGAGAATTACATGCAACTCTTTTCCTCATTGCAATATATTGAGCAATATATTTAAGGATATCCTGAAAGGAGGTTCGAGCAGGTGTCTCAGACGGACCTCCACCTTTGATTCCTCAAATCATGAAAATAATGTAAGACGTAAGACGACCACAAGGGACATGGCACTTTTTATTCCCTGTGATCTTTGTCAAAAAGGTCAATTCATTGCCCAGTCACTGGTGGTGACTCTAAGAAATGACAGCTAACCTACTTATATTTGAAGAGGCACGAGTGTTACTTATGAGAGTCACAATGCAACACTGGAGGTAAGAGCTACACGTTAGCAATTTAAATAAATAAGTGGATGGGGAGCACTGGTGTATGAGGTTTCCAAAATATAATATTTCTGCTAGACACTCGTTTACTTACCATCTGAAACTTTAATTAGCTGGACGTGGTCCGGGAGCTTTCCGACAAGAGCGAGAGCATAGGACACAATGCACACGGTATATGGCTTTTTCAGGGTCTTTATCCTACCCTCTAAATACTCTGCACTTTTAGTCACACTGTTAGCCAGGGTCTGTGGGGTTAAAAATAGGGATCATATTAATGTCTATCATCAATCATCAATGTAATTTTTTGGAAGGATATTTTACATGAGTAAGATGTCATAATTATGTGCCCACAGTAACTACAGCTGCGGTGCCGAGTTGGGGGGAGTGAAAAAATAGTTTTGACAATATTTTGTTAACTGTCATTCAAAACACAGACCTTCTTGTGAGTAAAGTATATAAATCTCAATTCTTTTTAGATATATAAATACATACTTTCCAAGACATTCAATCGTTTATTGAATTCACCTTATACTTGCCCTCAAAGAACTTTTATATGGCGGAAATATTATTTATAGGTAGATGCTGGAGAAAAGCAATCTATGTTTCTCCTCATAATGTGTAAATGGGCATATAAGACGATGTGTAGTTAATGTACCACTAAATTTTAATACGAAAATTCCATATTTTTTAGTTGAAACAATATATATCTTTAAAATATACTTTTAAAAAATTGTTCTCCGAAAATTTGGTCTTGTACTGATAGCAAAAGTGCACATTAGATAGGTGAAGTGGGAAAATGTTCGGTTCTTCCAAATTTATTCATATCGGATTTCTGAAGAAATTTCTGTTTGCAAATTTGGAACCAAATATGGCCAGGGAAGGCCTAACATAATGGAGTAAAGCTTACTATAATATCCTTTTAACAAAAAAACTTTCTCAAACTGTGAGTGATTCGAAGTTGTTATTAAGTGGCAGTAGCTACTATCTACATGCCCTTCAACCCAAAATCCACATTTCAGATCAAAGGAAACAGTTCACCTATTGTGATATTTGGTTTATTTGGAATTTGGACAAATTTGTTATGGATTTCGGAACTTGGGAAGGACACCAAATTGTCCAAAAATTGACTGAATTGCAATTAAGACTGAACTGAATCTACGTCTACGAGTTTAGTGCACACTTTTCACAGTGTACCCAATAAACTAAATATTGTTTACTGTGTTGTGTCCTCTTCCTGCTATTAATGTTCAGGGATGCACATTTACAAATTTTTAAAAGTGCCCATTTTACACATATTCAGGTTTCCCCTTAATAGAGATTTACATTGACATAGAAGTGTTAATTCAATTTAACAAACACAAATACATGCAAAACTCACACTGACTTCCGAGTTACAGATTTTTTGTGCCTCCGAAATGCCAATCAGGACAAATGCCGTGAGAGAAGCATCGGGATCAGTTCTGCCAGATCCTCCCTGCAGAGAGAAAACATGCTCATTCATCGAAAAGACATGTTCACTTAGAGAACTGCTACATCCACGTAAACAAGATAACATACCATTCACATTCAGAATTTGTAACCATAGCACTGAATATCACAACTTGTAGAATGTCTTATAACATGATAGGACATATTTATTAATACATCCTCATGTCCACTGTCTTGTACCTATTCCTTTAATCCTGGTAAAGAACTCACTTTCTAACTGGTTACAATTAGTGCCAGAACTGTTAACTCTGTTCCTCAAACTTGGTTCCTTAATCTGATTCCTGAATTGTCCCATAAATGGACATTTCTATGTAGTAGAACACATGGATGGACTTAGACCTGACATTTTTGCATATACCCAAAGGACCTCAAAGGACATTATATTGTCTTCTAACCCAACTGATTCTGGGGTTTCCCCAAGAATACATCATAAAGTGTCTATTTTCACATGGATATTGTATCTATCATCCCTCACCTTTTTCCACTTAAAAACATCCCATACTCTGATTTTTCACTTGCCACATACAGCTCTTCCAGTAACTTACCACCATCTCACCATGGATGACCGGTGCGTCCTCTTTGAAAGCTCCGTTAGGTAGTTGTTTCTCCTCAATTAGCCACCGTACAGCCCCACATAGGACACTTTTTTCAATATGTACCAATTCAAATGCCATAGAAAAAATCTTAACTACATATGCTGTGAGCCTGCAAGGGAGTGTCGTAAAAAAAAGTGCAGAAAAGAAAATAACTGTATTTAGAATATTTTTGACTAGGAGATATTTTTTGAAACTCCAGGTCTTTCAGTGCAACTCTACTTTTATCTTTCACTATGTGCTTGTATCCAGATAAATAGTATTATACATTTAAACATATCTTTTTCTCAATTAAAAGTTTCGATTCACAAATAATTTCACATATTGTTGCGTGTGGATTCTTAAACTCCTTTTTTCTATATTTTGTATTGTTAACCTTTAGTAGTGTGGGTTAACTAGAGTCCAGCACCTTATACATTTATGCCTACTTGGGAGTGTGACTTAGTGTATAATAACCAAGTCTTAATCTACCTCCCATATTTCCTGACCATATTAAAAAATATAGGCATAATATCTACAGGAAATGCAGAGTGTATTTCAAACTAAGTTTGACATGTGCCGAATCTGAGCATAAGTGAATCTCTTTAAAACATTTAAACATAAACATGCTCTGCAGTCTCTCATTGTAAATTACAGGAAATCACAATGAAGAAAAGCTATAAAACGGGACATCAGACTGAATAATGTACAAAATGAAACTCAGAGTAATCCTCCCAAACATTGCTCACCAGGTGCTGGCTGGTCTGTTAGTAAAGGCAGAATAAGAGTTGTCATCTTTTCGATATACCAACTGCTGAACATATCCTGACAAGACAGATGGGCAAAAATGGGAAACGTGTGTTAGTTACATGTGTTCGTAACTGATAGCAATATGTTGTCCAGGTGCATTTCAGCTACATTCTAGAATACTTATCAGATAACACAAAATGAAATGCCACATCATTCTATATAGAGTAATGCTAATATTGTCCGAAAGTCATAATCTAGCTTGCCTTTTACAGTGTTTGCAATATTCCCACGTTCTTCACGTATGCTCACCCTGGTTAATGGTTTTAATGGCTTCTTCTCTACGATTTAGTCCAACTTTCTCCCATTGGCCAGTGATATCAAGGTATCGGGTGGCGATCACACTGGGGGTCATTGTCATCATATTCTGCTCTCCACATCCAGCAGGCACCATGATTAGGTGGTTTAGATTGGAACCATCAATGGAATTGCCCAATGTTTCCCCCAGAAGGTCACCTGGAAATTGAAGACACATCATGAGAGATATGTAGACATGTAATAAAAGACAAGGAAGATAATATGTTCCACAACTGATAAGAAATGTTAGTAAAAGTGGGAGTGTATTATCTAGGAATTTTGTTGCTCATAACATGAAAACCATTTCAACAAATTAAATTTTTTTTCATGATTACACACATTTTTGAATTTTACTTTAACCAATCTAAAACAACTATTCAGGCAATAACATTTTTTTTCATGACATTTATGCATTCCAATTAGATATCTGGAGTGCTCCTTTAAAAAGCTAACTAACACTCACATATAAAGTTCGTAATAATTATATCTACCATTGCATTTTACTCATTCATTGGTATAACCCTTTTCGATCACTGATCTCGGTCAGTGACCTTCTCCTGTGGAAAAGGACTCTCTGGAGAAGTTGTTGTAAGCAACTTGACCTTTTAAGATCTTGGGTTGTTTGTGAGAGACAAAGGGTCACCTGGGTAATAACCCCATTGACTTTTAAATGACTACAACCTAAATGACAAATCACAAAAGACTATGAGCCAGTAAGATAAAATGACTTTAAAAAGTGACATCTAACTGATCTAAACATTTATTAAGGGTAGCCTTGAAAACTGGAAATATCATTATTACAGACATCACAGACCATTGGTGCCAAGCTGTCTATCCAGAGCAGAACCCTAAATCAGCATGTCTAGGCGTGGACATCTTCTATACAATTTATGCATGAATGCCACAAGACTAAGCCAGCTCTCACTAAGGATTTACAACCTGTATTGCAGGCAAGGTTGCTGAAACTGATGTTCTTGGTTCTAATCCCTCTGAATTAGCCTGGGTAGCTATTTTGGAAGCATGTCAAGTGATCATTCTTACCTTTCACACTGACAAATGTCATAGGTTCACTGTTGGGAACAATATCGTTCTGAGGGACAGGGTCAATGGTCAGTATCTGAACTCCTGAAGTTGCAAGAGAAGAATCTCATTAGCACAGTATAGAGAGATCACTCAAATGCACTTTATAGATGGATGACATAAATAAGGTAAATTACAGTGTACAGTAGTAGAACAGAGATCACTGTTTATGTAAGTTCAGAGATGATACTGATCGTATGATATTTATTATTACTATTCTAAGACTGCACTAAGTAAAAGAAAATACACAGTACTGGCACTAACATATGACTCTATCGAAGTACTTACACACTTGTAATAATATCTCCTTATGGCGATAGACCTTTATAAATCTCTCCTCACTCCTGTTAATCACACAGCTGTGTACCTTTCTCCTGTCTGTCACATGGCTGGGAACCAGCTCTTACCTGTGAGCTATCGACCTCTATTCTGAGACTCACCTTTCTCTGATACTCACTCCTGGCTTCACAATGTAGCAATTTAGCAGAAGGGTTAGGGAGCTGGTTAAGTTGGGAACTAGCAGAACGGAAAAGTGCAAGCAGGTATTTGTGAGGGCTATTTGGACTGTGGAGTAGCGTTAAATGATAGAAATCACTTAAGACTTGGTAATATTGTGAGAGATTGGGAATAGGACAAAACTTAAATTAGGGAGATCTACTAGAGAAATGTGTTGGGTAACAAGTCTGGAACAATTAAGATCAGACATACAGGCCAAAGAACCAGAGAGGCATAGCCCAACACCCAAAACAGTCCACCAGTGGTCTATTCTAGGGGAATGTTTCAGCA